CGCCCCAGTTATATCTTACTTTTCAGGTCAGCAGGTCGGGCCGGCGGTGTGACATGAAGGGAGCAGCTCGGGACATTCAGGATATTTGTATATATGTTTTTGGGACTGTATAACTATTACTTACGCTTCCGCTTACATTTTGACTATCTTTTGACGATGGTTTGATGATTTTGACGGTCTTATCATATTTTGATAAACTTTTCAGATAAACAGTTTTTAAATAACCGAACGTTTTTAATAAGTTAAAACAACGGTTTTTCTAAAGTTAAGTAAAGATTTTCACGGTAGCACCCCAAATCAGTTTCGCAAAGTAAAAATGTTTTAGTTTTTCAAAGACTTTGCGAATAAATGCGCTACTCTGATTCACTAGTAAGGTGGGGTGTTACAATTGGTATCAGAGCACGTTTCTGCGTCTCTGATAAGTTTTCAGTCAGATAAGTTTTCAGTAAGAAATTTTCAGTAAAGTTTTCAGAAAAGTTTACAGTCCGAAATTTTCAGTAAAACCCGAACCGTCATGTTCACGCCCCGCCGACGACAGGTAAGTGCTGTTGCAATTCAGTTTTCAGCTATTATAAACATATTACTTTGTCTATGCTCAGAATTGAGGATCAGAACTTTAGTCAAGATGCTCGAATCAGATTCAGACTCTAGAGGTTGGACATGACTCTAGAATTCAGGCATTCAGTTATGACTCTAGACGTTAGGATTTTTCCGAGATGACGACTCTAGAGTTCTTCGGGTTTCCAGTCAGTAATTATTAGCCAATTTTGGCAACTCGTCAAGAGATCTGTGTGCCTAGTAATCAGTCAGTAATGCTATCGCATATTCAGTAATGTTAAATTTTTCTCAATGTTCAGATGCCGCCACGTAGAGAGCCCAATCAGCAGGGTCCTACCCAGGCTACGGTAGTCGCCCAGTTCCGCGACTATCACGCAGAGAAGTTTTCAGGACAAGGCGACCCCCGTATCGTCGATGAATGGATTCAGGGGTTGGAGTTTATCTTCGAAGTAATGGAATGCCCCGATAGGTTTCGCGTAGTTTGCGCTCAGCTTCAGCTCACTGACGACGCGAGGCTCTGGTGGAACTCCTACTGGAG